TCCCTTAATGCATGTATGGATTTTTCTGATAAAGATTTTATATAGAGGAGAAAGTAGGCATATCAAGAATTGAATAAGCATTTATGTAGTGCCAACTATATAACGGTACTGTATTAAATGCTTTTTCCAAACATTATCTCATTTGATCCTCACAACAACCTTACAAGATAGGTGCTATTATTATCTTCATTTTACAGTTGAGGAAACTGAAGCAAACAGAGGTTAATTGATTTGCCCAGGATCACACAGCTAGTATGTGTCACATGTTTGGTCTGAGGCCGGATTTGAACTCAGATCCTCCTGACTTCAGGGCCAGTGCTCTATCCACTGCGTCACCTAATGATTGCATTTTCTGAAATCTAATTGTCATACAGAACATTGGCCACAGAATTATCAGAGTCAAAATGTATTTGTTCCTCTGTTGTCAATGATGAGATGAGATTACTACAGAAACACTGGCAGATGATTTATCTGACACTTGTTTTTTCTCTTTCCAAGTTCAGATTAAAAATGCTCTTGGTATCATTCTAGTTAAAATGAGTCTTCCAAGCTTCCTGTGGACTTGTTTTCCCCTCTCCTGCTTATTTTATTTATAAAATTATATTGCTTGTAATGTGCAATTATGCTGAACATTTTACAAATGAGCTCATATTCTAAATTCATTACACCTTTGGATACCAAGTCTGTCTTCTTGAGGAAGAAATCAAGTGCTTGTTGTCTGGGACAGTTTCTGAGTGTGTTGACCTCTTCACTGTTACACTTATTTTCTATTAGCCAAACATCTGTATGTAATGACAGTTATTATAATACATATATCTTTAATTTTATCCATTTCTCTTTTTTAAAGCTCCATTATTTAATTAGGTCAGCCTGGAATGTTTTTAGTTAGGATTTTCTCATCTTGATATTTTTTTCCTAATTTTTTTCTCTGTTTTAACTGAACAATGATCTGACTACACACAGACAACTGATTCTGAAATGGCCCCCACATTGGTAACTGGTCATTTTTTGTCAGATATTCTCAATTTCTTTTCTTTCTTCTTTTTCTTGTTTTTTTTTTAATTTTTTCACTATTGTTTTAGTAATGACATGTCTAAGGACAATCCCCAGGTAGTTTAAGATCAAGATTAAAATGAAATGAGCCATAGAACATCCAGCAGTTAACAAAACATTTATTTAGCCATAAAGAGGAAGGATATTCAACAAGTATCAGAGTCCAGCTGGAACTCTTTTTGACTTTTTGTACTGAAGCAACTAGGAAACCGTATCAACAGCTTTTGCTTTAGTCCTCTCATCCAATTAGATCTTCGGGACAGTTTCAATTCCTTTTAAGAAAAAGACCTAGGGGCAGCTAGATGGTGCAGTGGATAGAGCACCAGCCCTGGATTCAGGAAGACCTGAGTTCAAATCTGGCCTTAGACCCTTGACACTTACTAGCTGTGTGATCCTGGGCAAGTCACTTCACCCCATTGCCTCATAAAAAAAAAATGACCTAACCTGTATGGAGCAGAGCCTCAGTATATTTCTCCCATGTATATAACCATAGTTATGCATAGTGCCTTTTGAAAGATCTTTAAAAATTTATGGTATACATACATGTTCAAGGCTTTTGGATTACTTACAAACCTTTGGGTTCTTTCATTTCCTATTGTAAAATTGCATGTGTGTGTGTATATATATGTATATACATATATACACACATATCCATATGTACACATATGCGTATATACACATAGACATATATGTAATATATAATAAATTATATGTGTGCATATATCTTCTACCGTGTGCCAATCTGCGCACAAGTTTCAAATTATATTTTGACTAGATTTGGAGAAGCTTGTCAAATTTTTCATAGAATGTCTCTACCTACTCATTCTCCACAATAGATATTAATGTATAATCTGCCACTGTTTTAATGATGGTTTCTTATCTTTGCTCATTATGAACTTGGTAAGTTGAGATGTAAAAGCATTCCATAAAATGTTATTGATTGCTTTGGGAGGGATAAGATAAAATGAACTGTTTTACATACACATATATGTATGTATATGCATATATCCTCATGTGTGCATAAATGTATGTAAGTACGTATATATGAATGATCAGAAATTTCCTATCCAAGTGACTGTGCCACCCTTCAAAGTAGTCACTTTAAGAGATTGTCCACTTACTCAAGGATGCCCAAAATGTGTTCATAATTTGTACATTGCCTTCAGTCTGTGATAATTTTTTTTTTTTTGGATTACGCTCAGTGGTGACAAGTCATCTTTCTAGGGTAAATTTGATTTTTGGAAATAACCCAAAAACATTTGGAGCCAAGTCTGATGAATTAGGTAGTTGATTTAAGCTGCATAAGATGGGTTTTGGCCCCCAAAATGGTATGCAACTATAAAATAGTAGAAATTGATGATTCTGTTAGGTGGCTGTAAACTTTTTTTGAAGGCAGTTCTAAAATGAAGAATTCTTAAACTAATTAATGGTGTAACATCATAGGAATGAATATATTATTTTTAAGGTGATACCACAAATTTAGGTGGGTTCATTCTATTATTTTTGTGTCAAAATCATTATTTTATAATTGTTCCTAATTTGTTACATTTTTGAATGGCTAAATATTTGTTAAGGAAAGGGGATATCTTATCCTTTAACATAGCATCAATGTATATGTGATCAAAAACTTCTCTACTATAAGAGCAGAGTTCCATGAAAACAAAAAGCAGAATTTCTATTTAGATATGTTGACTTTTTTGTTTTGTTTTGAGAATATGGCCCCTGTTTTACTAAGTCCTTGGGAGGCATTCTAAAATATATTCCTCATGTTTTTTAAGGCAATTAACTTATTTAAGAAGTGAAGGTTTTAAATAATAAGATAGCAATGCCTGATGTTAACATAGTGCTTTTAGGTTTTTGTAAAGCACTTTTGTGTCTAGTTTATTTTATCCTCAAAATATTATTATATTTTATCTTCACAAAAGAATGTAGTTTATATCCCATTGTATAGGTGAAGAAATTGAAGCTCAATATGATTAATCAACTTGCCCAATAGTTAGTGACTGAGCTGAGACTAGAGGCATGAAATGGTAGGTGTAGTTATAGTAACATAGTATAGTTAGTATAGTAACAATAACACCTCATTATATTTACATGCTATTTCATAGCCCTTATGCAATTTTAAGCTAAAGGTTAAAACTACAATGACTTTTTGGAACCCTATAAAATACCGTAATACTAGATGTCATTTATTGAGCACCCAATATGTACAGAGCCCAATGTTAGCCATCATATGGCATTAAAAGGAAGAAATAAAGGATAGAAAAAAGAAAGGAAAGAAAAAAGGAAAGAAGGAAGGGGAAGGAAGGAAGGAAGGAAGAAAAGGAAGAACACAAGTCATTCTCCAATTGATAAATGTGGAAAATATGTGAACAGGCAGTTTTCAGATGAAGAAATCAAAGCCATCTATAGTCACATAAAAATACTCCAGATTACTACTGATTAGAGAAATGCACATTAAAACAACTCTGAGGTGCCAGCTCACACCTATCAGATTAGATAATATGACAGAAAAGGAAAATGATAAATATTGAAGGGGATGTGGGAAAATTGGAACACTAATGCACTGTTGGTGGAGTTATAAACAATTCAACCATTCTGGAGAGCAATTTGGACCTGTGCCCAAAGGATTATAAATCTGTGCATACCCTTTGATCCAAGAATAGCGCTACTAGGTCTAGGTATCCCGGAGAAAGAGGGTGGGGAGAACCCATTTATAGAAAAATATTTATAGGAACTCTTGCTGTGTGGCAAAGAATTGGAAATTGAGGAGACATCAATAGGGGAATGGCTGAATAAGTGGTGGTATATGATTGTAATGAAATACTATCATGCCATAAGAAATGATAAGCAAAATGATTTCAGAAGAACCTGGAAAGACTTACACAAACTGATACAAGGTGAAGTGAGCAGAACCAGAAGAAAATTGTTCACAGTAACAGCAATATTATATTATGATCAACTGTGAACGGCTTAGCTAGTCTCAGCAATACAATGATCCAAAGACAATTCTAAAAGACTCATGATGAAAAAGGCTATCCACCTCCAGAGAAAGAACTGATAGAGTCTGAAGATAGATTGAACATACTGTTTTTCACTCTATTTTTTTCATGGTTTTTTTTTGTCTGTGTTTTCTTTCATAACATGACGAACATGGGAATATGTTTTGCATGATTGAACATGTATAACTTATATCAAGTTCCTTATCCTCTCAGGGAAGGGGATGAGATGGAGGGAGAAAATTTGGAACTCAAAATTTAAGAAAAGAGGAATGTTAAAAATTGTTTTTACATATAATTGAGAAAAATACCATTATTTTAAAAATATTCTGGGGAAAAAACCTCCAACAACTAACAAGGAAGGAAGGAAGCAAAGGACGAAGGAAGGGAGGGAGGGAGGAAGGAAGGAAATAGAAATAAGCATTTACTAAGTTTACTAAGTGAAATAAACATTTACTATGTGCCTGGCATTGTGCTAAGTACTTTACAAATATCATCTCATTTGATGGTCACAACAACCCTGAGAAGTAAGTGCTATTATTATCCCAATTTTACAGTTGAGGAAACTGAGGCCAACAGAAATATGGTGATTTCCTCAGCTAGTAAGTATCTGAAACTGGATTTGAATTTGAATCTTTCTGACTTCAGGCACAGAGCTCTATCCATTATGCCATCTCTCTCCATTAGGGCACTCTATTCTAGATAAGAAGGGCAAAATTAGTACATAGGATAGAATAGAATATATAATCAAGTACTAGTTGTTAAAGTGCAGACTAAAGAGAGATATTATGACAAATGAGGTGGGCATATAAGTGGTACACAGGCCTTGGCTAAATTCAAAGCAGCCCAGAGAATACAGGTATGGCTCTTATGCTTGTGCTGATTAATGCATTTGTGTGTGTTTACACTTCATGAGATGTAATACGACTTTGTCTTCTCTTCCTCTAGTTTCAGAAGCCTCATGATTACTCCCCCCCTTTTCGGTTTGGCACAGTTCCTAATGGGAGCACAGAAAGGAACATCAGGAATAATTACCCTTACATGCATCAGTATATGACCAAATTCAATCAGAAGGGAGTCGAGGACGCTCTGGTCAGCTTGAAAACCGGGTAAGGATGCTTGGTACTTCTCTCCCTCCCTCCCTCCCTGCCTGCTGAAAAGTGGCCTGGAAAACGGGGCATACTGACTGCACTGTAGGTCCTGATGTCTATCCATCCCTTAGTGGGATGGGCAGGTTGATCACATCAGGCTCCCATGGAGGGCTATTTTGTTTAATCCGACAAGTACCACATCCCCACCCCCACCCCCATCCTCAGAGGTTGAAAATCCAGACAACTGGTGATTTCTCAAACAGATAAAGAAGTTGGTCATGATTTTCTCTTAAAAAAAGGTTTCATGTGTCAAATAAATTCTATTGGGCATTTAACCACCATGGATGAATTAGAAAATAAAAGACGTTCCATCTTTAAAGAGGAAGTAACTGTGGTATGGAAGGGTGGAGGGATGTTAAATGCTATAATAACAATAGTAATAATGCTTGATCACACAGAATGTAATAATATCTGATGTCATTCTTTTATATTTCATAAAGCATTTGTGTGTCTATTTTTTCTGGGTCAAGAGATCAATACAAAGTGCACAGGCCAGTAGCAGTCAATGAGAAGACAGGATGGGGGAGGGAGCTAAAACAACCAATCAACAGGTATTTATAAAGCACATACTGTATGCCAGGCAGTGTACTAGGTACTGAGGTTACAAAGACAAAAGTGGAAAAATCCTTACATAGAAGGAGCTTAACATAAGTATACTGCCAATAACAGCAAGTGACAGATTGTAGTTTGACAATAAGAATAAAGACAGATAAATTATTTTTAAAGTAGACATAAAAACCTCAAAAAGCCTAGCAGTCTGGAGCAAACAGGTCTACACAAACACACACACACACGCATACACACAAAACTCCAAAGGCAATACCACATTGACAGTGTAGTACAGATGTGGACAAAAAATCATTGGACATGGAGGCAGAAAGCCTGGGTTCTGGTGTAGGCTCTAACACTAGTCGGTAACCATGGTTAAGCCTCAGGTTTCCAATATGTAAAATGGGTGTAATAATATACACTTTGCCTCACAGTGTTATTATTAAGGAATAAGTGCTATAAATTTTAATATCACATATAACAATGAATTATTATGTTCATAATGATGAACTTGAGTCATCAAGAAAAATTGGACACATAAAAGTGATTTGAGGTATGGAGTCCATAGTACTTGATGTATAATTAGATATGGGGGAAATACTCCATCAAAAATGGTTATTTTTTCAAAGGGTGCATTTTCATTACCCAGAAAAGATCACTTCTATTTTCCTGACAGTGCTGCATACAGGGGTATGACTGCCTCTTCTTGTCTCTTTTAAATAAACATGCCCATTGTACCATTAGTTTGAGATCTGCTCCCAGGCTACCATGCCCAGGTCTCTGAATCATTTCTCCAGGTCTTCTTTTTCAATGATTTTGTCATTTCATTTCTTCTTTCAAGATTGTCTTTAATAAGTCAGTACTGGCTAGGGTCAAGGCATCAGATTAGTGTGTGAGGCCTCTTTTTCATCTTACATTCATCCATCTACTTTGGTCTTTACTGATTCATCTTTTAATGACACTCTAGACTTGCCCTGGCTGTGATTCTATTTAATGCTGTTATTTGATCAGTAACTGAAGGTCAGCACTTTGGGCAGAAGATAAACATTGGCTTGGGTGAAAATGTGTCTCTTGTCAGCATTAAACATGCCAATATCAACTCTCCCTCTCCAAAAAACAAACATACAAAAAAAAAAAAACCCCAAACATCCAGAGCCTTATTTCTCTATAGTTTATCTGTTGTGTTGGAGACCCCGAATGCCTCTGCTTGCTGTATATAGTAAAGAGGTCACTCTCTGCATGGCTTTATTTAAAGCCTCTTCATGACAGAGCAAAGTAAGGAGGATAAACTAATGGAACCCATCTCTAGCAATAAGGGGTACAAATAGTTTTGTGGAAATAACATTGATTGTTCTAGTTTAGCCATTTTTCAGTCATGTGCAACTCTTCATGATCCTATTTGAGGTTTTATTGGCAAAGATCCTGGAGTGGTTTGCCATTTCCTTCTCCAGCTCATTTTACACACAAGGAAACTGAAGCAAATAGGGTTAAGTGACTTGCCCAGGGTCACACAACTAGTAAGTGTCTGAGGTCAGATTTGAACCTCAGCACACTATCCACAGCACTACCTAGCTGTCCTAACATAGAATGACAACATCCATTTTTTGCTGGCCTTGACAGATGACATAGTTACTTACGTTCCCCACATTTTGAACAGTGACCTCTTTCTGTAAGTCCAAATATTCAAGCTTCAGGAGCACAGAATTTTGCTGTGAAAACTAAACCTGTAAAAAAAGACATCTATAAAAACTCATTTCAGATTTGGGAAAAAAATCCAACTATCCCTCAGGACTTAAAGGAGGACAATTGTAAGATCAATCAATCAATAAACATTCGTTTAACATTTTCTATGAGTGAGACAGCTAGGTGGTATAGTGGATAAAGTGCTGGATGTGGAATCAGGGAGACTTAAGGTCAAATCCTGACTTATGTACTTGTTAGTTGTGTGACCCAGGGCAAGTCACTTAACTTTTCTCAGCCTCAGTTTCCTCATTTGTAAAATGAGGGTAATAACAGCAGCTACACTATAGGGTTATTGTGACAAATCAAATGAGATAACATGTAGAGTACTTTATCATCCTCAAAGTGTTATATAAATACTGGCAATGGTAATACAGATTATGATAATAATATGGTGGTGTGGTGATGGTGATAGTGATCTTATCTGTAACTCTCATAAGCACTGAAGATTCAAAAGAAAGACAAAATTGCCCTCAAGATACTTACTAATGGGGGAACAGCATGTAAATAAATAAGCACATAAAAGATTCATAGAGGATAGACAGAAGATAACCTTAGAGAAGATCCTAGTAGCTGGTGGAGCATGGAAAGGCTTCCTGCAGGAGGTAGCATTTGAGTTGCATCTTGAAGGAAGCCAGAAGTTGATCCACTAATTCTCATAATGTAGAACAATTTGTATTGATGATGGGTCTGCTTATCCATCCCACGCCCCCAAAGACCTTCTTCTGAACCTCTCCTCACTTTCTGGTTGTCATTTCCTACTTAATCTCTACGTGTTATTTCCAATTGAGCCTCATAAATATCTTCAATCTTTTTTTTTCACCAGACACTTCTTAGAAACAGGGCATGTATTAAGCACAATGGGCAGTGTTTCCAGATGGCTATAACATACCACATGATTGGTTCAAAGGCTCTTTAGGAAGTTGGGGGAGTAAAATGGAGGACATCTACCATCTGTTCCTGAAGTGTCACACTTCAGATTTCCTAATCATTATCCACTCAAACTCAGCAGGCATTGATTTAAAATACTTTTAGAGTGGGGAGACTCAAGCAATGCACCCTCCCTACTCCACCCACAATCCCATGCTCTCAGAAAGAATGGCAATGTCTCCAGTCATCTGCTGGAGTCATTAGCAAATCAGGGTCACAAAACAGGGAAATCTTGATTTTTTTTTAAACTTTGTAACCATACACTATTTCTATCCTCTGTTTATTAAAATACAAATATGCCAAAAGCTTAAAGAAATCCAGCAAAGGGTAACTTGCAACCTCTGAAGTAAACATAACCGTTATCACTGCTACCACCACCACTACCACTACCACATCATCATCATCATCATCATCATCACCATCATCATCATCTACTTTTGGGTAGGCCTCATTGTTAGGATTTTCCCTTTAAATTGAATCTAAACTTTCTTCTTTATGCCTTCTACCCCTTTGCTTTTATTTCAGTCATCTGGAACCAGGGATGTACTGGTGAGAAAGAGACAGAGATAGAAAGAGATGCAGAGACAGAGAAAGATGCACAGAGAGATACAGAGAGACAGATACATACAGACAGACACACACAAAGACCAAGAGATAGGTAGAGAGGGACAAAGAGAAAGAGATGGAGAGGGAGACAGAGACAGAGACAGAGGAACAGAGATAAAACAAAAGAGACAAGATATAGAGACAAAGAAAGACAAAAACAGAAAGACAAAGACAAAGGAGAAAATAAAGAGATGTGTGTGTGTGTGTGAGTGAGAGAGAGAGAGAGAGAGAGAGAAATAACGGTTCTCAAAAAGTGTCCCAGTACAGTCAAGGACTATCATTTTCTAGGTGAATTGAATAAAAAATTACACTCACAATTACATGCATATATGTGAGTCTCCCAACTTTCTTGTAGGGTTACCAATTTAAAACATTCTGTGCGTTGTGATTCTTTATGGCAAAAAAAAAAAATAATGCTGTGTGAGCAATAAAAAAATAGAAGTTTGAAAACCACTAGTATAAAGAAAAGAGAAGAGGGCCTGGATTATAGTGCATATTATAGCAGGTGGGAGATAAATGATGATACAGAAAAAAGCCTGATAAGGCAGTGGGGCAGAGAATCAGATGTGTAGAAGAAGAACCTGGAGAGAGGATACCATGAGCAATCAGGATGAGATAGCATCTAGAAGATAACAGAGGTTAACAGTGTCAAATGCAGCAGAAAGCTCAATAAGGGTGAATACTGAGAAAAGGTCAGTGAACTTACATGTTAAGTGAATGATTACAGCCTTGGAGAGAGCAGTTTTAGTCAAGTGGTGGTGTTGGAAGCCAGATTGCAATGGAATAAAGAGTGGGATGTGAGGAACTGGAGGCAATGAACACAAACCACTTTTTTTTTTCTAGTTTGGTGGTCATAGTAACTTAAGGGCAAGTTAAGGTAAAGAGTTTTTATTTATAGTAGAAGATATCTGGATGTGTTTGTGGGAAGCAGGGAAGGAGAAAAGTGGAAAAATATGTTGAAGGTTAGAAAGAGATAGAAGATAATTGAAGAAGAAAACTCCTAGGCAAGATGAGAAAGAATGGAATTGAGGGCCATAACCTTCCTAAAATATGGTACCCAGAAGTGAACATAATAAATGTCCCAGAAGGAGTCTGACAAAAGAGTAGTGTGACAGAACTATGATTGTCTCATT